GAATGATCATGATTTGACCTTGAATTGTTTTGATCCCGAATGGAAGTCAACTTTGTTAACCATGTATGAATCTGGAGCTTGACTGTGTTAACTGTGAGGTTTGAGCCTTAATTATTTATTCATGTGTGTTTAGTTCCTGATGTGATATTGATCTTAGTTTTGACTTTAGACTCTTAGTAGTGTGTCATGGTACATTGCACGTGCACATTGAGAAGGACGAAGGCCCTGTTCTTTAGGTAGCCTCCAGATGAATTTAGAAACGTTTGTTCCCTTCTTGCTCACCCATGTTGTAGCCTTGTCCATATTTTTCATTTAAGTCACAAAATTAACCCCTTGGCCCCAATTGGTTACTTTTCCCAAGTTTAGCTTGGGGGAGCTATATATATCTTCTTTTTTTTTTTGTGATGAACTTGGTGTTTAATGTGGAGCTAGAAAGAAATAAAAAGAAAAGAAGGAATCAGAAGCATGGAGGTTATATCTTCGGGAAAAAAAAAAAAATAAAAAGGAAAGTAAAGAAAAAATGAAAAGAAAAAAGAGAATGAAAGAAAGGAAAATTTGAAAAAAATGAGAGAAAAATAAAGGTAGTAGTGGTTGTTTACGATACAATTGGGGTATGCGCCCTTGCGAGTTAGAATGATGGATCGAGGATGTTTATTGATTATGTTCAATAGCTCCCCGGTTAGACTATAATTGCCTACATTTCCCAAATTATTCCCTACCCACTTTTACCTATCCTACGTTACAAGCTTGAAAAAGACCTTCTGACCTTCGTGCATGGTATTGTGTTCATGTGAAATGAGTCCTTTATCAAAATGATGGAGTATATGTCACATTTCGAGTCGACATTTGACTAGGTTGAGCGACAATATAACCCTTTAAACACGCGAGTGTTGTGAGATGGGGGGTTTTCATTATTGGAGGGGATGGAGAGAGATCGAGCTCATTTTTAGCTTGCCACATAAATATTGTGCAGAGTGACCACCAAGTGAGATATTCTAGTCATCGATTCCTGAGTTGTACATTGTTGATTTCGCTTGGCGACCACTTAGGTTGATTGATGGTTTAAGTGATTCAATTGGTTGGCCAAGATGCTTGCTTGTCTGATTCGATTTTGAGTCTGTTATTTCCAATGCACTATGGGGTGAAGTTTTTTTACTTGGTTGTTCGTTGTTTTTTATTGTCTTGATTGAGGGCAAGCAAGAGGTTAGCTTGGGGGAATTTGATATATGCATTCTATACCATGTTTTATCCCGGTTTCATAGCGTAGTTTGCATGGTTTTGAGCTCTACGGAGCTATTTCTCGCTAACAATCTTTTCTATAGTGTGTTCGATCTATTTGAATGAGTTTCACAGGGATACGGAGATTTCTTGGATGTTTCGAACTTGTTTTGGATGGTAAATTAAGAGGTTGTTGAGTGAGAGAAGGAAAATACCCCGATGCCTTACCGAGCACCCCATGCCCTGGCTGCTAGGGCGAAGAAAGAATAAGTTAACTATGAAGAATCATCAAAACTCCCGTATGCCCGACCGAGCATGCAAAGCCCGGGCAGACCGAGCTGTGAGGAATGTAGTGCAGAGCTTTTCCATTTAAACGTTGTTACGCGCGCCTGACCGGGCATGCAAAGCCCGGGCAGACCAGGCAGAAGAAGAAGATTGCGAAGTTGAAGAATTATCCCGTTTGCCTGATCGAGCATCCTCTGCCTGGTCAGACCGGGCACGGCTCCGCAACAACCGTTTTAAATTATTTTCGGATTTTTTATCTTTCTTAGGGTATGAATACCTATTGTAATCATAATTAGAGGGACAACTTTAACTTTCCTAATATTAAAACTTCTTTAAAACCCTAGTTTTCTCCATCTACATACTTTGATTTCTATTCTTTAATTTGGCACTATTGTTCATCAACAATTTGAGTTTTTTCAATTGAAGTGATTGGTATTCATCTACTCTCTTTCCTTTACCTTTTTATTGCTTATTAATTATGTTTTCTCCATTGAATCTTGTTTTTGTTTTCGTTAATATGTGTGAGTAGATCCATAATCCTAGATCTTGCAAAACCCGAATATGATTGATACATGAGTTGAATCTTTAAATTCTCTAATAATGATCCCAATTGATCTCATGCTTAATTGATTGTGTTTATGCCAATGCTAGATTAGGAATAATTAGTATTGTTATCATCCTTTTGTTCTTATCGCAACAGAAGTTTGGGTATTATCGGGATTTGGGTATTTCAATTAAGGGTTTGAAGTTCATCACGGAAGTAGATGATTTGATGATTAGGAAGTTAAGTATTGTGGTTAATGTCCCTCATTTGCTTGATTCCATGGAAATAGGCTTGATAGTTGATTTGGGAAGCCATTGATAACTCGGAAGAGACCTTTGGTATTGTTTAGGGAATGTTTTTCCTCTTGTCAATTGATTTGTTATTGGGGGTAGATTTATTAGTGCATCGATTATATTCATGGTAATGTTTGATCTTGGATGTTTTAGTTCATTGATTCATCACTTTCTTTAGATTAATTGTGTTATTTAGTATTGTAGTTATTAGTATTCTTCATCATTGAATTGGTTACTTTCTTAGTGATTGCTTGAGTCTAATTAATTAGGTGAGCCTTAGTCTCTTGGGATTCGATCCTTACTTGCCCGTCTACATAGTAGTGGTCTTGTTTGGTTTATTTTTTTTAGGTACGCGACACGTCTATCAGATAGACTTTGAGAAGGCATATGATAGACTTCGGTGGAGTTTTATACGTGAGTCTCTAATGGAATTACGTTACCACAACAAATGGTAGATATTATTATGCATTGTATAAACTTGGCCAAGTTGAAGATTCTTTGGAATGGAGAGCCTATGGAAGCTTTTAATCCTTCTCGAGGATTTGACAGGTTGATCCATTATCACTTTATATTTATGTTATTTGTATGGAATGATTGTCGTATTAATTGATAGGGAGGTGAGGTTAGGGTGTTGGAAACTGGTTCGAGCTATTCGCAATGGCCCTCTTATTTCTAACCTTGGTTTTGCGGACGATCTGATTTTATTTTGTGAAGCTTATGTGGAACAAGCGAATTTAATGCAAAGTTCTCTAGATTTATTTTATGAAGCATTAGGCAGTAAGGTAAGTGAGAGTATTTTTCTCGAACAACACTAATTATGAGGTTCGAGATGCAGTGTGTGTGCGTCTTGGCATGGCGGAGGATTTTGGTAAATACTTGGGAGTGTCGACTATAAATGGAAGGAACTCGGAGAGGGAGTACTATTATCTTGTAGATAAAATTAATGGAAAACTCGCTGGGTGGAAAGAAAAGACATTGTCTATGGCGGGGAGGGCTACCTTAGTCTATCAACCTTGAGTACTGTCCCGTTTTACACTATGCAGTCCACGAAATTGCCTTGCACTACTTGTGACGAGATTGATAAAAATATTGAAGCTTTATTTGGGGTGAGCAAGATGGAAAGAGGATGATGTACTTGGTTTCTTGGGATAAAATTACAAGACCAAAATAGGAGGGAGGTCTTGGGATTAGCTCGATGAGGAACTCCAATAAGGCTTTCTTAGGAAAGTTGGGGTGGAGATTATTGGTTGAACCTTAGGCTCTTTGGTATAGGGTCTTGCAGGCTAAGTATTGTGATAATCGTTGTGATTTAGATATGTTCAAAGAGAAAACTTGTGCTTCAAACGCGTGGAGAGGGATTATGAGTAGTGTGGATATTGTTTGAAAAGGGATTAATGTGGCAGTGGGAAATGGCTCCAAGACATTTTTCTGGTATCATAGATGGGCGACTAAAGAGCCATTGCTGGCCTACGCTAGTGAAGAACCTCCTCTGGACGTGCAAGATAAGACGGTGGCTGAACTATGGGATTCAAATGTTGACTGGAAGTTCAAAATATTTGCGGAGTACCTCCTTGCTAGCGTGTTAAGTGAAATTTCTTCACATGAAGTAATAGATGACGAGGAGGCAGTTGATACATTTTATTAGAATGGCTCCCCGAATGGTAGCTTCACACTTAAGTCAGCTATTGAAATTATTCGGAATGCAGAGAAGAGACCTGATGAAATGTCGAAGGGATGGAAACTGATGTGGAGCATGCCAGTAGCGCAACGTATCCGCTTCTTTTTTTGGCTTGCAAGTCAATATCGACTGATGACTAATGGAAATCGATTTGTGAGACAGTTTATTGATGAACCACGGTGCTGTGTTTGTGGAGAGGTGGAGGAAAACGCAAAGCATGTGTTGCGATTTTGCCCAGCTGCAAAGATGGTGTGACAGGAATTGGGTGTGAGGATGCATAGAATTATTAACAACAAATCATTTAAAGATTGGTTGTTGGAGAATATTGATAGAGAAGCTGCAAACTTAGGTAGCGAGTGGCTGAGAGCATTTGGAGTCACTTGTTTGTGGCTTTGCCGGTGGAGAAACAATAGGTGCTTTAATAATACTCCCAACATACCTTTAGACCAAGCAGCGTTTATTTTTGCCAGGATTAGTATCAATCGACAGGCTATGGAAAGAGATGATAAATTGCTCAGAGTGAAATTTGGAAATAAAAAGGAGGTGTATGTTCGATGGATGGTGCCAAAAGTTGGATGGGTACGACTCAATACGGATGGTGCGACCAAAGGGAATCCTAACAGAATAGGTCTGGTGGGATAATTCAAGGTTGTGGAGGTGAACTCTTTGAGGTGTATGCTATGAATTGTGGCACTTGTACCTGCATGAAGGTTGAATTGATGGTAGTTTTGCGTGGACTTTCAATTGCTTGGGGTGGTGGACATAAGAAGATATGGCTTATTGTTGACTCTAAAATAGGGTACGAATGTTAGGAGAAGAGAATTCTCGTAACTCCCCCTATATTCATTTAGGAAAACAATGTAAAACACTTATTTCGGGTCGAGATTGGGAGATTGTCATAGAGCATTGCTATAGAGAAGCTAATAAAGCGGCTGATTGGCTTGCGAATTATGGCGTTCTCTCTGACCAAAAGTTGGTGCTACTGGAGGCCGTTTCGAAGGACCTTCGTGCTATTTTATTGGAGGTTATAAGTGGGGTGGCGTGGGCTCGTAGGGTGCCGGATGATGCTTGAGGAGAAGCTGCTAGAGCTGGCTGGGTCCGATACTTGCGATGTCTGGTTTATTTATGTCTTTTTACTTTTATGTTTCCTTAGCTGCTAGTGTGTTTTTTTTCTCTTTTTAATTTGTAGTTCTTAGTTTTCTTAGGGGCTTGCCCCTCTCATTTACCAAAAATTAAAAAAAAAAATATCAATATTCAAATAACTTACAAAATATAAAAAAAATTCAATAGGAATTTTATTGTAAAATTTAAATGAAATTCTTACCACTAAACTACAGCCACCATATTAATACTCCCATCATCTATTTTTAGTTTTTAAATAGGACAAACCAATCCTATCTTAAATTAAAAGTCAAACAAAAAAACCGGTAAATTTGAACTACTCCGTATATTACACTCATTCAAATTGACAATAATCCACTTGTACAATTATACTCTCACTGTCACACAGTCACACCAATCATTATCCAAGAAAACATTACCAGACACAGAAAATTCCGCCATTAACGATGCTTCCGTCAACCTCCGCCGCCATTTTCTCTCTCCTCCTAACAACAACGACACTACTTTCTCTCTCTTCATCTTCTTCACTTTCTGACGACGACGATTCTCTCACCTACATTTGGCCATTGCCGGCAAACTCCACTTCCGGCGCCGATACTCTCACCGTCGATCCCGACCTTTCTATCTCCAACTCCGGCAACTCTCCGATCATCTCCGCCGCTTTTCTTCGCTACAAATGCATCATCTTCTCTCATGCAACAACGGTTCCTCCCGGATTTCGATCTCTTCGAACGCCGGTTTTTGATATTAGTGTTGTTCAGATCGTTGTTCGTTCTTCTGATGAAGAGGTTTTTAATTTTGTTTGAATTTTTTTAGGGTTTTGATTTTTGATTGTTTGAGATTTTGTTTTAATGTTGTTGAATTTTGATGTTGTTAGCTTCAATTTGGAGTGGATGAGAGCTATGTTTTGAGGATTTCTGGGAGAGATAATCACTCAATTGTTGGATTTGCTGCAATTGAGGTAAATTTTTCTATAATTTCTACTTCAACGGTTGAGGATTTTTGGAGTGATAATTAAGGCAGAAGTAGAAGAGTTGATTGCATTTCTTGCTTTCTTTGTAGGCCAATACTGTGTACGGTGCATTGCGGGCGTTAGAGGTATGGATTTTTAGTAATTTTGTGGCTATGAATTTGCTTTTAAGTGCTAATGATTAGGCCGATTTCGCTCCTTCAGTCGGTCGTATGCCAAACTGTAATTGTTATGCCACGACTGTAAAATGTCAATGGAATGTCAAACTTCTGTGTATGTGAGCTTAAAAGGTTGCTTGGAAAGTAGAGTTTTTTAAAATGCCAAAGCGATGTTTAATCGGTGTAGTTATTTCACAGTAAATATTGTAGTATGCTGCAACTATGGATCAATAAGCGGATATGAGAGTACACTTTTAGGATTGTGAGCAATGTCATTGTCGACTACTACATTTTTTTACAAGGATTTGATTAAATTGATTATTGCATTATGTGAATACGTCTATTTTGTCGAGCTATGTCATATTGTCATATGCTCAAAACTGCATTTCATATTGCTTGTGTACCATATAATAGAACATTTTTGATGTTACTGTATGGTATGTATATGTATGTGTGTCTTGAGCCTCTCACCTGTCAATTTGGGTCAAAGATTCGGGTTTATGTTAGATTTCGGGTTGTTTGGGTCGGGTCGGATTACCGAGTCAGGTTAGGAGTTGACAAATTGGAAGTCTAAGCAAGGTTCCATCAAAGCCATTTGACAACGGAAGTAACGCCTTAGGCTCATAAGGGGGTAGTTTTACAATGTGAAATAACTCACATGCATACTATGTTTAGGGCATGCTTGGATTGAGAGTGATGTATTATTAGGGTAATAAAAGTCAAAATTAAGATAATGAATGTGAATATAAGGAAAACGAGAGAGTGATGGTGTGATTGTAAAGGGATTATGTAGTGATGGTGTGGTGAGAGGTAAAGAAATGGGAGCTATTACCCTTATTTTGAGGGTAATAGTTACATTAGGGGGAGGGTGGGTAATTATTACCCTCATTATGAGGTTAATGATTCCATAAGAAGGAGCACATTAAAAAGATCGAGGTTTACGGAAATGCGCATGTTAAGATGGACGTGCGGGAACACTCTAAGAGATAGAATGAAGTTATTCACAAGAAAGTGGGTGTCGCAAGCATCGTAGACAAACTAAGGGAAAATCGTTTGCGTTGATTTGGGCATATAAGACAAAGATCCCAGGGTGCACCAGTACGAAGAGTGGGATCATGAAGAGGTTAAATGAGGTAGAGGGAGACCAAATGACTTGGTTGGAAGGAGTTAGGAAGGATATGAATCATATGGATTTGCGTGAGAATGAGGTATATGATCGTAAGGGATGGAGGAGGAAGATTTTTGTGGTTGACTATGTGGAATAATCACTTTTGGTTCATGTAGCAGACCCCACTTATGGAATTAAGATTTTGATTGATTGATTGTGAAGGTAATGATTCCTCCATCTCTCTCTTTTTCTCATGTCACAAGTACTTTATTTCATTTGTAAACACTTTATCTCCCACAACAACACCTCTAGCCGCTTATGTTTTTCCTAGTTTGACTTTTATTACCCCTTAATTCATTATCCCCAATCCAAGCATGCCCTAAATGAAGACTCGAGCCACTTGCACAACGAACATAGTTTCCTTTGGTTATACTTAACTGTGATAGCTCTTTTTATGTACTTAGTGCATTCTCATTGGGTGTTTCACACAATATAGTGATTAAATGGAAGCGGGATATATTTTTCCTTTTGTTGGTATCTTTTCTACTTAATATGAGAAAGATGGAATTAGAAAAAGTTTAGGAAGTGTTTTCTCCCATAACTTATCAGATTTCATTATTCCCTTCTTTAGTATCATGTTGGTACTTTAAACATCCCTCCCAGTCTCTCTCTCTCTCTCTCTCTCTCTCTAAATTCATGAACGTTCCTTTTAATATTATCATGCAGACTTTCAGCCAGTTGTGCACATTTCATTATGAATCAAAAACTGTAAAAGTAATGAAGGCTCCTTGGTATATTCAAGACGAACCGAGGTTTGCATACCGCGGACTTCTTATAGGTAAGCCTAAGCCATAATCTAAAAGAATCTGTAAGATTTCAATTGGGTGTTTTTGGGCCTTAGATTCAGTTTGCTATTTCAAAATGTCTAATTTTCTTTGAGCTGCCACTAATGTAAAATGGAAAAGGAAAGCAAATATATAAGTAATTGGCTTGGTTGAATTTGTTATCTATCACCATCTTTTTCTTACAGTTGTTGCTTTCTTGCAGATACTTCTCGGCATTATCTACCAACAGATGTAATTAAGCATATTATTGATTCCATGTCATATGCCAAACTTGTAAGCTTTGCTTCTTGTCTACTTTTCTTTCTTTGTTGGTTTTAATTTTATTTTATTTTATTTTTTGATGTATTTGACAAAAGTTGTCGTGTCTTGCTGCTTCATTTGGTTCCTAATGTTTAAAAATTTTATTCAGTAGAATGTTCTTCATTGGCATATCGTGGATGAGGAGTCTTTTCCTCTTGAAACTCCTTCTTATCCAAATTTGTGGAAGGGTTCATACTCAAGGTGGGAGCGGTACACAGTTGAGGATGCTTATGAAATTGTCAAGTAAGCTCTCACTTCAGCTCTTCATTTTAAATTGTTCAGTTCGAAGAATGACAACCTTTCTTGTTTAGCTCGTAAAATATTGTCTTTGTAAAATGTTAGCCATTTTCCCTACAACATTTGTCAAATGTTTTGAAATTGCATTGGATTTTATTCCTATATGTTGTTGAAATTGCATTGGATTTTATGTAAAATAAAGACATATGTAGTCATGTAATGGCAAGCAATTCAAGAAACTATCTATTTTCCCATTCCGAAGTAAGACATATCTTACAGAAAGGGAGGAGGGTGTTAAGGAAATGAGAGTTATAGAAAACCAATTCTTTGGAGTTAAGTATGAAATACCTTTTCCAATAACTCCCTGTCCCATAAATGCCCTTTTGCATTAACTTTAACCCTATACCCATTGGTTACCTTGTCCAATAACCACCCCTAGGCATAAATATGTGTTCTCCTTCTATTTTTAATATATGTCATTTTGACACTACTGCGAATTGCTTAATAGTGGATTCTATCTCTTCATGTTCAACACACATCTGTCTCAAAAGAAGCATTTGTACCATGTTAATGTCTTGACCATGATCTTTTAAAAACCCAGCAGTCGGATGAGTATTGTAAAGCCATCCACAGAAATCTTAGAAAAATTCTTTGTCAATTCACACTGTATTTCTGCTTGCACTGGATTTGAGCTAGCCAGACTTGAATATGTGCAGAACTTCTTGGTTAACATTGCCCTTTTTTTTTTTTATTTTTTTTTTTATTTTTTTGTAAATAAATACAGATCCCAAATACATGAAGCACTCACTGAAATCTAGCTTTGCAACACTTTAATTGTTGTCTTCCATGCCAAAATGCACACCAAACGCTCTGTTTCATTTTTAACTGTGCCTCCTCAAAGCTCCCGTTTGTTTTCGTAGTTGTGTGCACTGTGCAAACGTATTCTTAACACATGTAAACAAATTATGATGTGCAAACAACATAAGTGAGTCTATGACACTTTTGTTTGTATGATTTCAACTTGTGTATAAGACCATAATTGTTGCCAAGAGAAAATAACTTTGTAGATCCTTTTGTGTTCTGGTCTTAATCGGAAAATCATTGGACACTTTTGAACCACTTCTATTTGTCCTCATTGCACATATTTTTAATAATGTTGATATTCCTGTATGTGATACACCCTTATTTGTCAATTCCCGCCAAAGTACATCCCTTGGTACCTTCACTACCTTGGTAGCCTTTTTATTATTGATAAAAATCATGAACTTTTTTTACGCACCATTACTCCATGAATTGACTTAAGACTTAGGAGGTAAATAGTATTATTTGTAGGCCTGGGCGCCAAGTCCAGACTGGAGATTGGAATCGATGATTTATGGGACTGAAGTGGAACAAATTAAACCTACATTTCCAGGTCCAGTCCAAGTTTTGACCGGATTGGATCGGTAAATATGCATTTTATATATTCCTGGGAGAAACCGGTTTTCTATTTGGGATCTTGGTAAATGATATCAGGAAATCCTACTATAGCTTCCAGTATACCGTATAAAACACGTCACTAATGTCCTTCATAATTTAATCTGAATAGTATGTATGATATGGTACAGGATATATGCATTTGATATATTCCTGAAATAAACCGGTCCTCTTTTTGGGATCTTGGTAAAAGAAATCCAGGAAATCCTACTAATCTTCCAATATACCCTGTAAAATACATGTCAATAATGTCATTCATAATTGATCTGAGTAGTATGTAATATATGGTGCAGGTTTAGCCTTAATTTACAAACTAGATCTGACTATTTTTCCCTAGTAGGTTTGATCTACGGGGCATGCTTTTTTGATTGTCCTTATTCATTTTGCTGCTATTGTTCATTGTAATCACCTATCTATTTGGCATCATTATGATCTATTTGTCCGACATTCGTCTTCCCTCCTCCCCACCTCCTCTTTGGTCTAACTTTGTGAAAGATTGATTCTACATTCACTAACGGAAATTTTCTCCTTCAACCTTTGTGTCTATGTGATGGCTCACATGCAGCTTTGCAAAAACAAGAGGTATGCTATATCTTTTACTATATATCTTGTGTTTTTCTCGAAGTATCACTTTTTTTTTTTTTTTTTTTCCCTTTTATGTGCTGCTTTAAAATTGTTTCATTTGGTGCTAAACCATATAATAAGATGCCAGATTTTAGTGTGTGCCTACTTCCTACGTGTGGATGGTCTTCTTCGCCCTTGGCTTTTTTGAATAAAGCTCCTGTAGCTTGGCTTAGCCTAATTAACAGTGAGGTGCCACCCTCATTATCTTGAGCAATGCTGGGTGCTATGAGGAAAATGGAGCACCCTTCCCATTGTTCTTAATCCCTTTTGTTTATTACTTTGATTATACTCTCTCCCTCCTATTTCTGTTGCTACTTGCATTGCTCCTTGAAATGTAACCCTCCTCCCTCTCCAAGAAAACAACATTATGAAAGAGTTGCGTACCTTCTTGTCTTACCTTGCACCTCAGAAACCTTTTGTTTCTTGGAGCGCTTAGCACCAAGGGTCTTTGCATGTTCTTTATGTTATGTATGCATATTTTTAAATGCTCTGTATGGCTTAGCCTTATGATACCTGCACCTTGTGGCAGGCATCCATGTCATGCCAGAGATAGATGTTCCTGGTCATGCTGAATCATGGTATGTAATCTCCTTGTGCGCCGCTTTAATTTCTGTTTTTGAAAAAGCTTAAACATCTGTTGAATTAGCTAGCTCAAAAGGGAGAATCCCTTTTCTGCTAAAGTTATCCAAGATACTAATTTACTTGCAAAAAATTTGTTTTATTTATAACCTCTATTCTTCTGGAAAATTAGATCTTAGCTCTGCCTGTAGTCATCTTATGCTTGGTTTTAACCATTAGAGAAGGGGTAGTATGTAGTATATTGTTTATTTGCTCAAAACTGCTTCTATGCATGTCGGTTTCTGAATTTCTTGAAGATGTCCCTTTAGTTTTGTTAGTAAAGCTGTAAATACCGATATAATTAGTATTATGAAAGTTCTTCCCTTCTTCCTCACCATGTATTATATTGTGAGTTAGTGTCTGCTCATGTTTTGTGTCTGACTGTCTGTGGCTCTGTGCTGATAGCTCAAAGTCTTTCATTAGAGACAACTCAGACAAGTAATATTCTGCAGTATTTTTGCATTTGCTCAAAACTACTTTTGATGCATGTCGATTTCTTATTATCTTGAAGCTGTTCTTTTATAATTGATAGCTAAAGCTGTAATAAACTGCTAGAATTAGTATTCATGAAAATTCTTCACTTCTTCCTTACCGTTTCGTGAGTCAATGTTTGCTCATGATTTGTGAATCTTATTATCTTGAGTACTTCTACAGATTAGCTCCAATCTTAAATCTCATAGGGATAATTTCTTTATGCAGGGGTGTTGGATATCCTGATCTTTGGCCTTCTTCTTCCTGTAAAGAGCCACTTGATGTCTCCAAAAACTTTACTTTTGATGTGGTTTCTGGTATTTTGACAGGTCAGATCTTCGTATTGCAGAGTAAACCTTATCAAAACTAAACTGATGAAATAGATCCTCAAACCTCATTAAAATTTCCCAGCAAAAAAAATAAAAAAGAAAATTAAACCTTGTTACTTACTTGTACAATTCTCTTCTTTAGTTCCACCGAAATTCTAAAAGAAGTAGTGAGTCAGCATTTAACCATACTTATAGTTATTACAGACTTAGTGATATAGCCAATAAAAAATGAAATTGTAGAAAGTTTGGAATTACATGTTATTGTTATATATCTTACATACTAAGGAAAATAATGCTACACTAACCTATAGCTGGTCCCTTATTTTTTTTTATTTTTTTTATTTTTTTTTTGTGTCAATATGTTGAATCAACTACTATTTGTGATATGCAGATATGGGAAAAATCTTCCCATTTGAGCTATTCCACTTGGGAGGTGATGAGGTTAATACAGGTACTTTTAAAGCACCCTATTTTACATTATGCCGTAGATAAGAATCCTTGATTGATCAAGTAAAGGATTTTGGGGACAAAAGAACTTCTATTTCTTTTTCAATGTCTTTCAAAAAATAAATCGGAAGGAAAGGTGTCTTGTATCTTCACAAAATTAATTTGGTTAATTTAATATAATATCCTTGTAGCACTAAGTCTCTATGCTTGTTTCCGTAGATGCCTTATCTTTGTCCCTGGGTGATGCAAAAATTGTCAGTCGTTTTTCACTATAATTTTTTAATTTCTTCATGGAAGATGCTGTATAAATCTCTTGTATATTGTTATATTTTGAAGCTAAGTTAAGCGGTAGTGAGATTGGGACAAAATTACCACTCTTAGTTTCACCACAAAATTGAAAGGCCAAATGTTGGTAAGATTCTAGGAAAATTTGCTGAAATCGTCTTTTATAATTTAAAATTTGAAACAACCACCTTATTTCATTATATATTTTTTTTTTGTCTAAAACCACCTTATTATAAAATATTTTTCCTTAACATCACCTTTCAGGATGTCTTAGACTCTGTTTAATCATCCATCAAAAACCCCTTTTGTTTTCTTCCATCCACTTTCTGTCTTTCATTTTCGAAATGTTATTTTACATTTAGAAAGAGATAATTATGAAGTTAACCAATCAACAGCAGTTATTAATCAAATACAACTCAACTCTTTAAAAGTTTCAATAGTGAACGGACTGAGAAGTATTAAAGAAAGAAAAAGTTTTGCCTTAATTTTATGCACCCAAGAAAGTAAAAGCCCTAGTACACAAAATTATGAAATCTCACATGCTGTTAAAAGTTGTTGTTCGTAGTTCAAAGGTCATGGATTCTATGCTCACAATCTTGAACTATATGTTCATAATTTTTGAGCTATTTGTTCATCCGGAATCTTTGGGGCTTGGACCTACTTTTGGAGATATAGGTAGGAGCTTTGCCTTTTGTGAATTTTCTTATTGGTTGGTAGTATGTTAATGTATACAAAGGGTGAATGTTAGATGGAAGGATAACTTTCATATCTGTACATAACTGCAAGTCTGATCTAACACTCTTAATCTCTTTATTAAAAACCATTAGCAATTATTACTAAATTAGGACCACAAGAACCACAACAACTCCATGTGGATTTGGCTTTTAGGCTAGGGATGTGCCATATTCTTAACTAGTGTAGATCAGTGGACACATAATACAACAAGGAAACAAGAATCTTTATATACTTAAATAGGATATGAATTTGGGTAAAGGTTAAGAGCTACCAAATGTTTATTAGAATCAATTTCACTTTACTGGATATGACTATACCACTGCCAACCTTTTGACCCATACCTCTCCCATAAGAGTAAAAAGTCATGGTCTGTTTACACCAGTGCATTCCCCGACATTAATAAAAAGATAGTGTGTGACTTTGTGGAGTACAGAAAAGCAGCCAAACTATGGGGTTAGAGATGGTCTTTCTAAGAATAGAAAAACAGGGTACATGTCAGCCCTAAGATTTGGGTTTGATGGTGATGGATCTGATGGAGTGGATACACTGGATAGCCCCCGCTGGTTGTATATAGGATTTGTAAATTGTCTTGTTGAAGCGGCTGGTATCATAGAAAGAACTCAAAGAAGTCGGCCTTGGGGTTCCTATTGCTATAACATTTGAGGACTTTCAGATTTAGTGGAAGCAGTGTCTCGCAAGTATTATGTCACGCTTTACTGCCATTGTTGCATAAATTTAGAAGTTGAAATGCTTCACATCATCATTGTACAATGTAGATCCAAGAGTTCTGGGACATTGTTAGAATATACAAGGAAATATGCATTTAAGCTTGTCATTCTGGGAGAGGCTTTAAACCTAAAAGTGATTAAATATGACTTTAAAGTTTTAAACTTTTGAAGTTTTCTTATATGTGATATGTTTGTTTTCATATGCACATGACTTTAACAATGGACATAACTGCTTATGGGTAACAAAACAGTATATAACACATGATATTGGATAGCTTTCAACTGAACAAGGCAAGTAATGGAACAACCTTTAGGTAACATCACGACCTTGAGCTCTGTAGTTGGATAAACAGAGAGCTTAGAGAGAAATATAGAGGAAGGAGAGATGAGTGCGTGGAGGGACGGGTCCTTAAGAATGGAAAATTGCTAATTTTCTTTGGGAGAGTTAATCATTGAGGGATAGTTTAGTAAAATTGTTAGAAGATATCCCTTCGTTATTTCACTTCTAAGATCTAATGTCCTATGAAACTAATAAGGGATTTACTCCACTTTCTAGAGGTCCCCAAAAGTTTAAGGATAAAAAACAAATACTTTGTATATTGCAAAAGCATCAAATTGCAAAGTAGATCAGTTTGTTCTTGTCAATCTTTTGTTATATGTACCCATGCCCTTATGATCTTCAATATCGATGTAAGGCCTCCAATTTAGACAATGAGAACATATGATAACCTATGGTATAGGTGAAACTACTTTGATGAGTGGAACTGCAAGCTTTTGGGCTATGTTTGTACAGATATAAGGTGAGGTGTTTCTTAATCTAAACTTTTTATGGTATGCATTGTAGACATCTTAATCAGAAAAGGATTTAGCCTAAAGCAGGTATCAATGCTTTTATTAAAAATGATTTTAAGAGGTGTTGAAGAAGACTTTTTCAGGAGAATCTTATGGTGGTGATTTCTTATAGAATTATGAAGAGGTTCCTTCTCTTATACTCTTAAATTCTTCTAATTTGTGGAAACTGGTCTCATAATCAATATTGCCTTGTGTTTACTAGGTAATGTTTAGACTTTAGAACTTAGCAATTGTTACTTTTTCCCCTGTGATATGTTCAATAAGAACTCTTATGTCAATCTTTAAATAGTACTTTTTGTCTAAATATACATAAAAGATTTCATCACCTTTGTTTTCTACTCTTGGGTTTATGATAGGTTTCTTCACTGACGTTCATGACCTTTTTGTTTATTCACAGCCTCAGTCAAAATTAAGAAAAACAAATCTTGGCATTCATGGTTGTAAATTGCTTATAGGAATGTTGTGCTTTGAAAACTTTTCCATTTGTGGTGTCTGCTTATTATCAAATAATTAGTGTGTTTTTATTTTTGGCAGAGTGTTGGAATTCTACAGCACACATAAAGCAATGGTATTTTTTCGTTATAGTACTTTTCTTTTCCCTTTTGTCACAAATTCCTGTTCTGTAGTGTAAAACTTTGAAATTGTACCGCTTCTAGTTTTTACTAGTGTCAATATCTAGAATTTTCTGTACATTTTCATGACTAACATTAAAAGATAAACAAATAATATTATAAAGGTACTACCCGTATACAAAAAGGATGGCCAGGATAGTTCTACATCACAGAAGCGTACGTCATTCCGGTGTGTAATGGATTGTGGTCCAGGTGTTGTGAATGTTATGTTGTGCTTTATTGGCCTATAATGCCTGTAGAAGCCATTTAAGTTCTCTATGTTGGCACATATTAGCTTTCTAAAAGTTGGAATATTCAGGTTTTGCAAGTTAAGTTGTTGATATGTACCTGCTGAGGTTCAAAACTATGCCAAGGTCAAAATCATTTTACATTTAATAACAAAACTTTTTTTTTAAAAAAAAAAAGCAAGTGCATGGGGAACCTAACACTTACTCGAGCTATACAACCTAGCCATAAAAAAGGAACTTGAGCTCTTGACACTTGTAACTTTGTAAGCTCTCACCATCGCAATTTTGCTGACTTATTTCTTTCCAAGTGCACAAATTTCCGTCAGTTCATCCTCTACGCTTGATAGTCTAACTTAAGCTTTTGTGGCATTATCATTGGATGTGGGACCTTAATAGAAGATAGTAAATTAAGAACAAAGTTTAATGACATACGGAGTGTTGATCTTTATTGAAGACGAAATGTGAGAGAGGTGGCTTAGATGCTAGGACTTGTTCAGAGGGGAGTAGGATACATTCAGATGCTTCAATTAGAAGAATATAAGGAATTGCACGCGAAGGAAGTAGACCCAAGAAGATTTGAAAAAGGGAAAAAAGAAAAAAAAAAAAAAAAAAAGGCGGTCCTCGCTCAACCTATCAAGGATATGACCCTTATTTTGAAGTTTTTGTTGCTGATCCCAAGTTGGGAGGAGGGGAATCTCTTGCTCTTACATGTAAGGGACCTTGAGCATGACCCTTTCTTCCAAGGGACCTTTTGTTAATTGATGTAAAAATACAATTTTGCGGAAAAACAGCAAAAGATTTATGCACATGTTAATATTATGAATTTAATGAACAATAATAATATAGTTCTTCCTCTCCAATCCATTTTAATCACAATGTGAGGGTGTCCACACAACAAACATTGAATCTCCAATGAGTTTGTTAGCATAGATTAAGGGAGAAGTAAGATTTAATATCCCCACTCACTCTCATGACCAGATGTTTAGGTTTATGGCTTTTGCTTTAATGGGAAATTGAAAACATATGTATGTTTTAACTTCTAATGCATAGGCCTTTTTAATCTTAAAGCCTTAGGTTAGATTACAAACCTAGCAAGACACCTTAGTAAAACATGCACACACTTACACACACACAAACACGTGGTCCCAAGGCCCTTAGGGAAAACATGCATGTGTGACTATTGGGGTCGTTGGGCTTTGAGTCCAAAAGTACAATGCTTGATTCGATCTATACAATTGTGTGTGACCAAAGAGCTTTAGTTAGGTGTGAGCCGTATATTCAATTACTTATTTAATTAGCTGATTAGAAGCGTTTTCTAGCCAAACATTTCCAATCACTAAATATTATTGAATACTTGAACTAACTAATTCTGTCATTGAACTTTTAGACTACTTATCAAGAGAAATGCATCTTGATTAAATGACACGATTCCAACACTTTTTCTCTCCCATCATGTGTATATATAAGTTTTCATGACTTGCCATTATATATTATTCTTCAGTGAAGTGTGTTTTCTCTTCTTGTTCAAGTGTTCTCACCCTCACTTTCTATCATATTACAATATAGTGTTGTAGTTGGTGGTGTTAATGTATTGTTTTTCTCTATACACGGTACTGTTGTTTGGAAACATTAGTTACATACTACTATACTACGGAGTGTTTGGAGAAAAAAAATGTGGTCAAAGTAGTATAGGAATAGTTCGTGATTGGATTTTCTAATGCATGTATATGTTGTGGATAAATAAACGGGAAAAATACAACTAATGTAAAGGGTGTTTTGGTAAAATTGTTGGTGAATACTTAATTTTGATGGGTTGGAACAATATAACAATTATTTTCCGTGGGAAGAAGCCATCAACTACTACAAAATTGTCTTACTCTTTAGCCATTCTTTCCAAGAGTTGAAACATTCTTTATCCTTTTACAAGCTCTCTGGAACTAGGCTAAGTTAGATATTAGAGTGCGAGCACATGTACCTTCTAGACTGTATTATTCTCAGGATATTGTGGGTTTGTCCAGGTTTTGGAAACTGAATGATAAACTCTATCATTGTAACTGTACCCAGATTGATCACCCTTGCTATTTACATTGTACTCATAAGTTTTGTGGTGAATTCTCGAGACTAATGATATTCATGTAAACAGTCACAGACTTGTAAATGTTTTGTGAACTTGGAACCCAGTTTTCTTCTTGAAACAATGTAGGATTGTCATTATTATTGTTGAAATATCTGTACAAAGATTCTGATAATAGTGATTGAGAAACCCGGCACTATCTGATAGGCTGATATATCTGAATAATATGAAGGCAAGGCTATGGAACATTTGATCTATGATGATGAACTTCCAGGAACATTAGATCTATGATGATGAACTTTTTACGTCTTGATCAACATTTCATTCTTGGCTAAAGCTGTCTAAATAACAATACTTTGTCCGTGGTCACTTGTCAAGAGAAATGAAGTATTAAGCTTAAACAAGTCAAGTAGTGTCTTCTTTCTCTCCCCTCCCCCTCCCCCTCCCCCTCCTTTCTTTTCTCTCTCTTTCTTTCTCCCTCTCCCTATATTTATTTATGTGATAGATACTTTTCTACCATGGCCTTGGACTATTTTTCCGTGGAAATCATACTTTGTATAACTTTTTTTATTTATTTTTTCTTAATGCAGGTTAATAGACCATAACATGACTCATAATGACGCCTACCAATATTTTGTGCTAAGAGCTCAGGAAATAGCTATTTCAAACAATCGGACACCTGTCAACTGGTATGCCTCTTTGTATGTCTAGTATGTGCATCTCTTGTAAAAGTTTGTCCTTGGGTGTCAAACAAAACATCAGCAGTCCTATTCACAAGTATCTGACACAACCTATGTGGTTACCTTTGATACCGAGAGGCATATTCAGAAACATAAAAATGTGGCAGCTTCCCTTAAACAAGTGAAAGAATGAAAAAGTAGTATAAAATAAAACAAAAGCTCTTTAACCCACTTTGTTTGCGTTGGTTTGGCTGAGGAGGTCAAAGCTTTTCGTAGTGTTATCATATTCTTTATGCATGTTGTTTACTATGTAAAACCTTTTGCATTAGATTCATCCTCTTAAGATGCTCGTCTTTTTATTGAAGAACAAGATCCTTTTTTTCTTCTTTTGGTGATTACTAGTAATGGTCTAAGACCAAACTTCTTCCTTCAACCCCGCAATATGACGAAAGGTGCTTTGAAAAGAGGAAATAGGGTTGCATCTGAGTGAAGTGTCATGACATAAGTTAACATCAGTTATTAACCATGTAAGTTTGCTTTGTAGTAAAGAGCAAGATTACACGAGTTGGCAACAAATTCTGTTTCACTTGTATGCTTCCACAACTTGTTTGTTGTGTGATGAGATTGTATGTATCACTTTTTGCTTTCATATTGGATGGGAAACACTTAATTTGGATCGATAATATTTTCTTTTCAGGGAAGAAACATTCAGATCATTCCCCTCAAAGCTGAATCCAAGAACAGTTGTGCATAACTGGTAAGTTGCTCAATCTTAGTTAAATCTAGTCTTGTAACTTTGTAAGGTTCTTTGATTGACTATAATAATGTAACAAGTGCAAACTGGTGGTAGGCTGGTTTCTGGAATCTGTCCCAAGGCTGTGGCTAAAGGTTTTAGATGTATATTTAGCAATCAGGGTGTTTGGTACCTTGATCATCTAGACGTCCCTTGGCAACCTGTTTATGAAGCAGATCCCTTGGAGGGAATTACTAATGTTACTCAGCAAAAGATGATTCTTGGAGGAGAAGTATGCATGTGGGGTGAGACAGCTGATACTTCAGATATTCAGCAAACAATATGGCCACGAGCTGCCGCCGCTGCAGGTATATATATCGATCACATCTTTTGAAGGGAAAAAAATAAAAATATTGCAGCCTGTTTATCAAAGTGACCAGTATGGAATTCCCCTGCCTGACTCCATTTGAATTATTTGGCAATAAAGTAGTAGGAATTGACCTTTGACATGATTTGAGTTAATGGCATTTATGCTAATGATAAATTAATAATTGTAATGGTGCTGGACAGCCCCCTACTATCATTAGAGCGTGAGCTTTCTATTTTTAAACTTGAGGCGCTCTTTGTGATCTGGAGGTCATAGATTAAAGTCCCCTAGGATTGGCAATGGTGAAAATGAAGGTGAAGGTGATGGTGAACTTGTTTTTTAAGGACTTTAACACCAAAACCAGAGCAAAATAAAGTAGTTTGCTTAAGTTCCTTTACTACCCTGTAATATAGAGCCTTAAATTAATATTAAATCAAACTGTTTTTAATCTGTCTTACACTAGCTTCAAGGTTTCCTACGTCACTATTTAATCTTGCCACACCTGTAAGCTACTATCTAGATATATATTCTCATCTATGTTGCTAGCATTGAGGCAACCTACTTCACACAGTTCACAGCAACCTATCTCCCAAATATATTGGATCACTCTACAAACTTCGTGGCTTTATTATGGGATTTTGAAGCTTGAGGGACCACCAATAGATTTTGTACTTGCAGTCGAAAGTAGTTCACTTACAAGCCTGGCTCAATAATTTGTATTATGCCTACTCAAGGATCATGCAAATTATACCCAGTTGGTGGTCCTAGTATCATTTTATTTCAGTGGTTTTTGTGCAGCAAGTAAATTAAATGTTTCAACTTTGATTTGTTTCTTCTATTCTTCCAAAAGGTAACAACATATAGGTTTCTAACATATTCTTGTGTCTGTCTCGCTCCCTTAGCTGTCATAATCTGTGTAGAAAGCAACCTGCTTGTTAGATTGCTCATCCATTGTCTCAATATCATAAATTCTGCCCCGCCTGACAGGGTAGTTGCTGCAGTTTGCATTATATGTGTATATGCTTCTGTCTAATTCTCTTCCTGATTGTCAACCAACCTTTTTTTTTTAATTTAGAACGCTTATGGAGCACGAGAGAAGCTACAACAGTAGAAAATATTAACAAAACAGCACTACCCCGATTGCATTACTTCAGATGCCTCCTGAACATGCGTGGTGTTCAAGCTGCTCCTCTTACTAACTTCTATGCTCGACGTCCACCTACTGGTCCAGGCTCATGTTATGAGCAATGATGTACTTATGCAGCTATTATTTATCAGATGTGATATGAACTGCATGGAAAAGTTCATTTATACATCCAATTGGTTACATATTGTATTTTACAGGGAAAATAAAAGGTTTGTGATCTGCATGTGTTTACACTATGCAGACTGTTTGAAGTCATTTTGTTTGCTTCGTGGTGTTTGGCGAATGACAATTGACCATAGCTATGTTAATCATCTCTAATTTATTTTATGATACAATTGTTCATGTAGACTGTCTGGTACTGTGTGAATCTTGCATCTCAAGCAATATACTAGTATTTCGTACATATAAGGGCATTGATCTTTGAATGATCTTTGTTTAGTTTCCTTTGTTACATTGGAACAGAAAAATCAGTAGTGTAGAAATGAGGATGAAAAGAATCTAAGTAAAAATTGATACTTCGAATTAGATTTTAAATTGATGCAATTAAAATCATATGGCCTTTTCAGTGTAAGAATATATATATTAGATCCAAAACTCCAAACAAACCAAACTAAATACAATAGAACAAATTTTTTACGCCCAATCCCATATAATGTACAAAATAAGACATGTTTAAATTGAAAAAAACATGACTTCAGAGAAATAAGTTTTAAATTCCTCCAACATTAATTAATTTTTTGTATAATTTAATTTCACAAAAATAATACAATTTCAAACAAAATATGTACAACAATTTTTTCCACACTGAATAAGGTTTTTTTTTTTAGGCTGCCAAGTTTTTTTCTTTCTTTTTTTTTTTTTTTTATCACCTTGATAAACATAGTGTGTTTATCTTATGGCAATATTATAAAAATTTTGCGTTGAAAACAGTGCCATGTAATAAAAAAAAAAAAGAATTTTCTTCTGTTCATGCCAGCTGTCCCAAACGGCTTGCAATACGGAATAATTCACAATGAATTATTTCCTTCTCTCTCCTCTCCTCCCCTCCCCTCCCCTCCCATGGCCACAACCACCTATATATTACCGCTTCAAGGTGATAAACCGGCCGACCAAATAAAAGATACCCTAGTAGCAAAATATGTAAAGTAGGGCCATATTAACCCTTTAGGGGAAGGTATGACAAAGATGGCTGTGGTTAATCTGGTAGGAGCGACGCAGTCGATTTGGTAGGAGTGTGTGGTTGTGCGGTGAAGTCAATCTGGTTAGAGCGGTGGGTCGTGCGGTGGTTGTGCAGTGGTTGGCGATCTAATGGAAGAAGGAGATTGGGTTTGTAGAGGAGAGAGAAGGAAGTAATTTTGGGGTTTAATTTGTTGAATATGGTGAACGGTGAGTCAGTGAAGAAGAGCCAAAGTTCATATTCAAAGCAGCCTCGTTGTATATGGGGAACAAAGTTCAGATTCATAAAGTCCCAATAAAAAAAATAAAAAATAAAAAAATAAAAGCAAAAAATAAGTGTTTGTGGCCATGGTGAACAGTGAAGAAGATTGGGTTTGTAGAGGAGAGAGAAGGAAGTGATTGGGTTTGTACACTTAATGGCACAAATAACACTGTCAAAAGTAAAATAAGTAAATTTTTTAAAAGTCAAAATTCTCCTTACTAAACCACATGAAAAGACAGCGCTACCCCTAGATAAACGAAAATCGTTTGTCGGGTCTTAAACTTATATTTTCTCGGTTTTTTTTTAGACAATATAAATCAATAATCTATAATTTAACACTAAAATAATTACTATCCACGTGGCAACTTCTTAAAAGAAAATTTCCCTCCAAAACTATTATTGACGTCATTCTATTTTTTTTTTTTTCTTTTTCAAGGTAAAGCTAATGTTTGGAAATAATTGACTAATTATATATTTTTCTAAAAGCTTTTATGTCTAAATAGACTAAATATATAATTTCAATTCATATGATTTAAAATTAAATAATTGACAGTTAGTCTCTTTCACATTTTTTTTTCTCCTACATAGTTTTTTTTCTTAAAAGACAATCTGCTACATTTTATTGTAATAGTGATTGTAAATTTTGGATTTTGCACTCTATTAATTCTTCAAATTTTCTATAATGAATCAAAAACGAATGCTAACATTTTAAAAATTTTATTATAGCTATGAAGTTAATTAGAATATTTAACATTATCATGTCTTTCATTTTACCTCCAAATCTAACGAGAGGGATCACAATTTATTATGTTTTGCTTAAAATATTGAGGAAATTTTGAGTTTTGCTACCACTAAAATACACCTCTTTGACTTTTGCTACCCATTTAAAAGCAAAAAACATATGTTTTGCTACCATTTAATAAAATTGGTTACTAATTCCATTAGTGGGGCCCAGCCACCATCCAATCACCCCTCCCTCCTTCCAGCCACCCCTGCTCCCTACTCACACCAACAATCAACCACTAACAACCACCCAATCACACGCACAACAACCCCTGTCTCACCACCATGCACAACACCTCCCTGTTTCCTCTACCATCACTTCCATCACCATCAGCAATCAACTCCAATTTCCCCTGCTCCATTATCCGCCAACAATAGCACCCAGGCAACAGCCCACAATCAACCACCAGTCCCTGCAATAACACCGTTGCACAGCCACCCGGTACTCCCATTATAGCAGCCCAGCTCTGCTCACCCTACCAATTTCTTACTCTCAACCGCTAGCCCACAATAATCGCACCGCCACTCAGCTCTCACCATCACCGCTCACCCCATGCACCTTGCAGCACCGCAAAACACAGCAGCAATTGACGCACAACAACAACCTCCTCCAATCACAACCAATTACAACAATTAACCGCGGCAGCAACGACATCAAGCAACCACCACTAAACGGGTAAAAACGAAACCCTAAAACCTGTTTAGGGTGGTTTAAGGGTGGTGTTTAGGGTTAGGGGTGTCAGTTTTTGGGTGGGGGAAAAGGAGGGGCGTGGGGTCACAAGTGCCGATGGATCTTTTGGGCGGCGACAGCTGATACGAGGGGGAGGGTGGCTGACGGGCTGTAATGGCTGGGAATGTTTTTTTTAAAAGTTTTTTCTATTTTTTAATAAATTACATCATTATTTAATGAGATAATGGCCCCACTTAACAGAACCCTAATAGATTATGTTAAGTGGTAGCAAAAGCTATATGTTGTAACTTTTGAAGGTAGAAAAATAAAATAAAATTTTAGATAGGTAGCAAAAGTCAAAACAGGGTGTTTGGTGGTAGCAAAACTCAAAATTTCCAAATATTTATATTACACACTTACAAGTAAAATTTTTATCATTAAAGCTGTGCATTGCACGAGGCTAACCTAGTATATTCTAAAAGACACACCAGCATTGTTTTTTTTTTAATAAAAAAATTCTATTAATTAAAGAAACAAATCATTTAAAAAAAACATTTTTTTTATACATATTCCATATTATTGTAGCAATTACTATATTTAAAATAAAAAGATTTCATAAATCTAACTAAAAAAATTTTGGGCAACTATAAACCAAAAATTATATTTTTACAATAATTTGTGACCTGTTTTACTACAAGAAAAAAGATTGCTTAGATTTTTTGCCTACTTTTGGTTTAGTTGTGTTTTAGAAGATATAATTAAAATATTTAACAATTAAAAAAACCCTAGCCTCCTTTCTCTCTCCCCTCTCATAAACTCTAGCCTCCTTTCGTTAATTTTGAAGGGGCCCCATCGAATTTCACCGGTGAAAAGCCCCAATCTTTATTTCTTTTAAGCTTTTTATTTCTTAGGTTACAATAATGTCTCCCTCGAAAGAATGAGATTATCTTCTTCGAAAGAATGGGTTTTTTTCGATCTCCTTTGAAAGACAAAGTTTTTCAAACTCCTTCGAAAGGAAAGTTACAACACCAGAACTGGTTGCCGACCGCCTGTACCTGCAAAAGCACGGAGACTCCGGTTGGTTGGAGTTCTGCCTCCGACGATCAAGTTAGAATACATCTGAATAAGGATGCGGAAAGTAAATATTCTCTCGGATTCCGGGAGACTATGCTATTAATATTGATCGGTATTTGTGTTTGTATTTATGACTGTGCATGAATGTATAATAAATGAGGAATTTCCTCTATTTATAGTAGAAGAAGATCTGTTTCCCTATTAGGGTTACTGTGCCACGTGTCAGCATCCGATTGGATCCCATTGGGCCTCTATGGGGCTGACACGTGTCAGCTGGCTATTGGGCCACGTGGCATGGGTAATTTTCCCCCAAACATTTTCCCCTCACAGGTAGACTTGGGCATCGTGCCGGGCCGTGCCGCCGCGGGTCGTGCCTGGCGGGCCACGGGCTCTGGCGTGCCGTGCCGGTCGTGCCGCCGTGCCGTGCCGGCCATTCTCACAGGCCAGCCCACGGCCTGGCACAACCCTCGTGCCTGGCGGGCTCGTGCCGTGCTGGCCACGTGCCAGCCTGCGTGCTGGCCTGGCAGGCTGGGCTGTTTCAAGATTTTTTTTTTTATACTATATAAATAAATATATATATATAAATAAATATATATATATAAATATATAATTTATATATAAATATATAAATATATATATTTATATAAATATATATATATATATATATATATTTAGGGCGTGCCGGAGCGTGCCTTGGCGGGCTGGCACGACGGGCCTAGGGGCGGGCTCGTGCCGTGCCGTGCTGAAAAGTCCACCTCTTGTCCGTGGCACGGCCCACGGCACGCCGGCGGGCCACCGTGCCGTGCCGGGCCACCACCCGGGCCGTTCCGTGCCTCGTCGAAGGGCGGGCCGTGCCGGGCGGCACGCGGGCCACCCCGGCCCGTGCCCAGCTCTACTCACAGGTGTCATGCTCTGGGAAGGTGACGGTTCGCCTTCTGAGTTTCCTTATAAATAGGAACCCCCCTCCTCTCATTCCACACTTTTGCAAATTTTTGAGAGAATTTCCTTGAGAGGAAGAGAGAGAACTGATCCCGGCTGTCTTGCTTATACAACCGTCAGTTTTTTCCCTACGCATTCGGTTTTCGTCTGAGCTAGCCGGTTAGCACCGCTTGAGGGATTTGCGAGCAATCGCCATCATTTCCAAGGGCACACACGGATTTACCGTTTGTGCTTTAGCTAGTTCAGGTTCAAAAACACTTGCTGTTCTCAGAGGGTACACACGGTTGGTCAAACGCCTGTACCTTTAGCAAGCCATCCATTGAATTCCGTCTGCTTGACCAGCCTGTCAACACTCTTTAAATTTCAGCTTACTTTTGAGGTACTATCTCTACCACCTTGAGCTCTTTCATGTATTTTTGTCTCTTTTTCTCTTTTTTCTTTCTTTGGTTTTAAAAGTGAATGGACTCACCAAACACGACTCACCAAACACACACCCGGC